TGTGGCAGATGTTGCAGGTGTATGGTATAGGAGGTAGGTTACTGAAAGCAGTGAAGAGTTTTTACGAGGATAGTGAGGCTCAAGTTAGAGTATGTAGGAAAGAGGGAGGTTATTTCCCAGGAAAAGTAGGCCTTAGACAAGGATGTGTGATGTCACCGTGGTTGTTTAATATATTTATAGATGGGTTGTAAGAGGAGTAAATGCGAGGGTCTTGGCAAGAGGCGTGGAGTTAAAAGATAAAGAATCGCACATAGAGTGGGAGTTGTCACAGTTGCTCTTTGCTGATGACACTGTGCTCTTGGGAGATTCTGAAGAGAAGTTGCAGAGGTTGGTGGATGAATTTGGTAGGGTATGTAAAAGAAGAAAATTAAAAGTGAATACAGGAATGAGTAAGGTTAGGAGGATAACAAAAAGATTAGGTGATGAAAAATTGGATATCAGATTGGAGGGAGAGAGTATGGAGGAGGTGAATGTATTCAGATATTTGGGAGTGGACGTGTCAGCGGATGGATCTATGAAAGATGAGGTGAATCATAGAATTGATGAGGGGAAAAGGGTGAGCGGTGCACTTAGGAGTCTGTGGAGACAAAGAACTTTGTCCTTGGAGGCAAAGAGGGGAATGGGTGTGAAGCGTGGGTGATGAATGTTGCAGCGAGGAGAAGGCTGGAGGCAGTGGAGATGTCATGTCTTAGGGCAATGTGTGGTGTGAATATAATGCAGAGAATTCGTAGTTTGGAAGTTAGGAGGAGGTGCGGGATTACCAAAACTGCTGTCCAGAGGGCTGAGGAAGGGTTGTTGAGGTGGTTCGGACATGTAGAGAGAATGGAGCGAAACAGAATGACTTCAAAAGTGTATCAGTCTGTAGTGGAAGGAAGGCGGGGTAGGGGTCGGCCTAGGAAAGGTTGGAGGGAGGGGTAAAGGAGGTTTTGTGGCGAGGGGCTTGGACTTCCAGCAGGCATGCGTGAGCGTGTTTGATAGGAGTGAATGGAGACAAATGGTTTTTAATACTTGACGTGCTGTTGGAGTGTGAGCAAAGTAACATTTATGAAGGGGTTCAGGGAAACCGGCAGGCCGGACTTGAGTCCTGGAGATGGGAAGTACAGTGCCTGCACTCTGAAGGAGGGGTGTTAATGTTGCAGTTTAAAAACTGTAGTGTAAAGCACCCTTCTGGCAAGACAGTGATGGAGTGAATGATGGTGAAAGTTTTTCTTTTTCGGGCCACCCTGCCTTGGTGGGAATCGGCCAGTGTGATAATAAAAAAAATAAAAAAAAAAAATATATATATATATATATATATATATATATATTATATATATATATATATATATATATATATAATATATATATATATATATATATATATATATATATATATATATATATATATATACATAATGGAGCATATTCAACCCTACTGTATTATATCAACATCACCTTTATTCTCTCACCTCACTAGGACGCTGCTACCAGTAAAACACCATCATTTATAAACAGGGAGGCTCCATGTCAGTCCCCCCTTTCTGCAGCCTACACAACCTGTAGGTTGTACTAGTACTCTCCCAAAACTTAAACAGGCCTCTGCACCAGGTAACATGACAGCACTTAAAGCAATAAAATAACCTATGGTACAAATTGACAAAAAAATCTCTACAAAAAAACAAACGGCTACGTCTTAAGATATATTTCTGCAGCTGCTGCGCTCCAGGTATTGACACACACTTCACTGTCCTCTCCTGGCCACTCTGACTGACCAGTAATAATACGCGTCCGGTTTCAGAACAATCCCGGAACCTGACATTATATATATAGCGTTTTTTATCACAATGTTCACAACACACTGCGGAATAATCGTTAAGAGAAAGCTTGGTATTGGGGGGGTGTAAAAGAGCTTATTTTGCTTCTTTAGAGAGCTTGATTGATCTTTAAGAGAGCTTAGTACTGGTGGGGGTTTAAGTAAATCCAGTACTCTCTTACCTCTCTCCCATTCTTAGGCTAATAATAAGTGTGATTCTGGTATTTTTCCTACTTTTTTTTTCCAAAATTTGCGTTGATGAAGAATTCATAGCAAATTTAAAAAAAAAAATCCACCCATTCCTTTTCATTTTTGGACGATGTTTCAGCATTCAATCCTAGTGACATGTGTGATTCTCAGTCATTTATAGATACATGTATGCAAAACAACCACTGTGAAAGAATAGTGAAATTCCAATTGCTTTCGTGACTTCTCACATTATAAAGGAACTATAAAAACAATACAACAAAGGAAGGCATATAAAAGGTCGAGACCACATCTTACCATCACATCCCACAACAAAGCAACACCTGACGCGCAACGACACCCGACTCATAAGAAAGGAGGAACACTGCAGCAGGCTTGCTGGCCCCAACTAGCCAGGTTCTTCACGACATCTCACTAACAAAAAATTTGTCCAACCCAAGTACTCTACCCAAGAATTAAGATTTATTATTTGTCCAACGTATTATTAAATTCTTCCCAAATTTTATTAATTATAAATGTCTCTAATTTATATAAACCAAAGGAAATATTCATATTATTTTCAAAACTGCTTTTTATGAAACAATATTCAATTATATTCCTGTCAACCATGGACTTGCTGGATACAACTTTCTCAACTTTTTGAAAATCAATTGGATGGTTAAAATCTCTCACATGAATAAATAGAGCATTGGAATCTTGTCCAGTTCTAATGCTGTATTTATGTTGTTTTAATCTTAGTTCGAGATTTTTACCAGTTTGACCGTAATAAACTTTATCGCAAATTTTACAAGGAATCTTATAGACACATCCATCAGCATTTTGGGGGGAATTCTTTATCAAAAGTTTTTTTACTGTATCAAGATTTTTAAATACAACTTTAATATTAAAAGTCTTAAGAAGAGAAGGCATATCAACCCAGTTTTCATGGTAAGGGAGAACCAACATATTTTTAGTTGAATAAGGCTGGTTGTCCCTTTTTGGATTATAAAAAGTATTTCTAGCAATTTTAAAAGATTTATCAATTACGTTTCTTGGGTATTTCAGATAATTAACTATTTCATAAATTTTGGATATTTCTTCATCTATGAACTCTGGACTACAAATACGTAAAGCTCTCAAAAACATTGATGAGAAAACAGACAGTTTAACTCTATCTTGATGGGAAGAATAATAGTGGACATAGGAACAGTTATTTGTAGGTTTTCTGTAAATTTTATATTTGAAGTCATTATTACCCTTAATAATTAAAACATCTAGAAAAGGCAATGAGTTATTTTCTTCAAACTCAACAGTAAAGTTTATAGAATGGGCTTAGCTATTTAATTTACCAAGGAAATGGTGTATATCTACATTCTTGGGCATAAGGCATAAAATATCATCAACATATCTAAATCATTTGGTTCTATTAGGGAGGATTGTGTTAAGCAACCTTGTTTCAAAAAATTCCATGACTCAGTGCTTGTTTCTCGTAGTCGGTTAAGGTGCGTGACGATAAGTTGTTTATCAGGGATTCGCGAATCCCTGATAAACAACTTATCGTCACGCACCTTAACCAAAAAATTCCATGTATAGGTTACTAAGAACAGGTGAAAGAGGATTTCCCATTGCCATACCAAACTTCTGAGTGTAAAACTTATTATAAATACAAATTTTGCATCAACAATGCAAAGTTTAATAAGTTTAATGATAGTAGGAACTGGCAATGGTAAATCATAATTAACGAGTTCTTCAGATAAGAAACTTAATAAATCATCAACAGTAACTTTCGTAAACAAGGAAGTAACATCAAAACTAACCATGTTAAAGTCATTTAAGTCAGTCAAGGAGCTTAATTTATCAACTAAATCTATGTTGTTTTTAACATTAAAGTTAGAAATTTTTTTCAAAAATAGGGCTCAAAATGTCGACAAGCCATTTAGATAATTTATTTGAAACTGAACGTATGAAGCTAATAATTGGTCTGACTGGATTACCTGGTTTGTGTGTTTTTATTAGTCCATACATGTATGGTAAAGATGGATTAGTGCCTTCCTTTGATATATTGTTTTTATAGTTCCTTGATAATGTGAGAAGTCACGGAAGAGCTTGGAATTTCACTATTTTTTCGCAGTGGTTGTTTTGAATATACTGATATCGCCTATTTACTGTGATCTTATTGCATAGATACATGTATATAAAAAAATTGTCTCGCCCTTTGAGGATATATTTCATCAATTCTGTTTCCCCCGTGTTTCATCGTGAGATATTAATTCCCAGGTAGTAGTAACTCCAATTCTGCTGAAATGAAACTATGGTTTAAACCTCAGACTGAAATATAAAATTCATTCATCTTGTATTATAGGATTTAACAGGGGGAATATAGCTTGCTTTTGTTACCACACTATAACATGTAGAGTAGCAACACACCACTGGCATAACCAGTTTTGTTTAATAAAAGCAATCTATCTTACCTTAACTCCTCTGGTTTGTATGGATGCCATTATTATCATCTACCTTCCCTACACTTCCTCCACTCACAGCAATATTTACATACCTTTAAGTCATACATACATCTAAGAAGACAACTATCCTTGGTTGCAACAAATCACAACCCACGAACTGAGAATCAAAACTTGACTTTTCGCTCTTTCCTCGACCATTGTCAACTTACGACTGGATGATGGTCGAGGCCAGACCGAAACGTCGTCTAGGTTTCGTTCTTTTTCATTTTAACCTTACCTTAATCCTGTTTTTCTCCCCAGTGTTACCTTGGACCTGCCTTCACCTGAGCCTCACCTGAACTCTACCCTTCACCTGAGCCTCACCTGAACTCTACCCTTCAGCTGAGCCTCACCTGAACTCTACCTTCACCCGAGCCTCACCCGAACTCTACCCTTCACCTGAGCCTCACCTGAACTCTACCCTTCACCTGAGCCTCACCTGAACTCTACCCTTCACCTGAGCCTCACCTGAACTCTACCCTTCACCTGAGCCTCACCTGAACTCTACCCTTCACCTGAGCCTCACCTGAACTCTACCCTTCACCTGAGCCTCACCTGAACCCTGCCGAACTGTGAGCCAAGCTTGACCAGAGGCGTAGTATCGAACATACGTAGGGGTGACATGCTAAGAGTGGCTTGCTGCAGGCAGTATAGGTTACTCATGACCAACAGCAGGTCGTCCGTCTTCTTCACCGGCAGGAAGCGAGAGCGGGGAACGTTGAGGCCTGTAAAGTGATGCATAGCAAAGACATAAAACACAAAACTCTTCACATAATAAAAACAAACGAAGTCTGAGAAGAAGAAAAGCAGTCCGTCTACATCTACTTCTGTTTAGGTAGATAGGGCGAGGATAGGATAGGATAGCAGTAAGGGAGGGATGATAGGAAGGAAAGGAAGGGAGGGATAGCTAAAATTAAGTTACACTCTAATTCCTCAGATCAAGATTGACTGTCTCCCATTTCTCACCTGCTGTACAACCCTTACGCATTTAGTGCTCCAATAAATTTAACAAAATAATAATAAGTTTTAATAACAATTACAACAATAATAAATAATAATTATAATATTTCTTCGTCTCTAAGGAAATCAAGCAAAGATGAATATTTCAAAGTATCAAGTACTTTTTGTACACTATCTACAGACTCAACTCCATAATGGATTATTTAGTACCTGTTTAGAGCCTTGTACTAGGATACCTCCTTGTTTTCACACTAAGATACCTCTCACTTTCCACACTAGGATACCTAAATGATGACCAGCATGAGGAAATGGTATGGTGATACCGGCAAGATGGGGAAAAAGACACTTAGGTACAGTTCTGGACTGTATAGAAGTGTCTTTTTCCACATGACCAACATCTATCTTCCTTTAAAACCCAGGCGTGTACCTCAGGGCATGACACAGGAAGAGCCTCAGTGCCCACCTAGAGATCCTGAGAAGCACTTGACGGCACCACCAACTGCTTGCTCCAGCTGAATGATGTTGAGGCCGTTGTCGAGAGTCTTGTGGTTGACGATCACTTCCATGTCCAGCTCCCCGTTCACCAGGACCTCCATCATGGCTGATCACAAGGCAAGTGTGTGAGTATCATGTTAATGCAGCAACGATTGTGTAAATATGAAGATTGGATGTAACTGGAAATTTTTGAATTTTCTAAAATTCAGCATACATAAATTTGAATAATATAACAATTGTGTATTAAAATGTGATGCTGATTTAACCTATCCAGATATTTCGAGTGAAGGGGGAGGTAGAACAGTCGCAGAGTGACGCGGATGGGGAGGGGGGATGCCATAGTGAATTTAATGTGTGAACAGTGGTCTGTTAGTTGTGTAATGTAATCAGGCATCATCGAAGTCCAATTGGTGTATCTTGGCCTCAGTCCATAATTTAGAAATTGCTGACACGTTCCTCGTGAAGAATTGGGACAGGAAATTTACGGGACCTCCAGAATTATGTGTGAATGTGAAAAATAAGGAGACTATGCCATCATTCACACAGGGAAGTATGCCATTGTCCTTTCCTTCAGAATTCTCGCTGGCCAGTGTAGGTTTCTATATGTTAGGTAGGCGTTATGGTGTGATCCAGCTACAATAATTAAATGGTAAGTGGTAATATGAATTTCCTTTCTAATAACACTATTGTATTATATGCATTGTACTAATAGTTATATTTTGTGTACCCAGCAAGTAAACCGAAATATACAGTCCACATTATTTTATAATTTACCATTATTGGTATTAATGTTTAATATTGTAATTATTAATTTAATGTTAAGTCTAGCTTTTTGTGAGAGTGGTAATGGAGTGGGCATCGAGGGAGTGACGGTTCTGCGACCTACTGTGACCACGTCCCACTTACCTCGCCCAAATTACTTACACATAACAATTCAGGTAAATACCCTGTAAACCTCATGCAGATAATTTTCTCACATAATAATTCATAGTCACAATGCCATAGCAGGAACAATTCACCCGTACTTATTTAAGAAAACATCGTCATAAGTTTGCTATGTGCATGTGATATTCAAAGTGTAAGTTTAAAGATACGACTATGTAGGTCATCTCAAAGATACATTTCTGAGATAGTAAAAGCACTCTTGACAAAGACTTGGACCCAGCATCAATGCGCAGTATCACACGGCATGTTTGACTGAAGATGCTACTCAGTGTAAGTGTACGTTGCTGTTAAAAGCTTTTTTTTTTTTAAACCTTTTTTTTCTTACTCTCCTATTCTTTCTCGATATTATATTATAAATATACATATATGTCTTCTGTTACTCCTAGAAAAGAGTGTAAAAGCTCCCAGAGTTACCATACCACAGACTTTATTTATGAAATAAGCTATCGTCCTGTGACCAAATTTGCCTGCATAAATAACTCGTTACGATTGTAAACAGACATAAACATGTAGTTCATTACCACTGTAACTTGCTCAGCTATCAAAACTTTATGGTCCAGTCCCTGGACCAATTATGTACCTCTGTAATTCCTTGACTACCGTCCACAGGATGGGTATGGTGTGCATAATAAAGATAGTAAACTATCTGCCAGGTGTCCTAGTAGTTAATGCGTAGGTCAGGAGTTTTATGACTCTTTGACCGCGGGTTTTATTCCCAGGTTACTAGGATCCCATGGTAGAAAAAGTGTTATGCTTAGATTCCACTCACATGACAGGAAAAAAGACTTAATAATTGCATCTATTAAAGTAAAGAAAGAGGTATATATAAACGAGTGTCTTACCAAAAAACGCCGGAACCTCCTGTATAGAGTCAGAAAACTTAAGCGGGAGAATAATGACACAATACACCAATGCTTCACACGGGATGGGAAAATTCTAGTTAGGAAAACGAATATAGGTCAACTGTACACAATCACGAACGAGAATGATCTATCACGATTTCTCAGGGATGCTAATCTTACAGAGAATAACTAAACAATGTCCAACCTAAAAGCCTCGTAGCGTAGTGTAAGTTTTGCTCCATTATTGTTCAAATTTCTAGTGCAATCTCTTAGTAATTAAATAATCAACTACCTCATTATGTGATTTTTACTAGAAGCATAAGTCACCCTTTGTAATTTTTTTTTACTATTGTTTACTTAATATTAGCTGAATTGATACTTTCTCTGTCCATATTACTACCTCATATTTTTCTAAATACTATTAATTTGATATTACTTACTAAAATTAAAATTAATTAATTACCATTTTTACTATCAGTACAATTTACTCTTAACATTTTTGACATCATTTAATTACCATTACTTGTCAAATTTACCATAACCTGTTTTAATACCACATTTACTATCTTAGAGTACTCTTAATTACCTTGTACTGCCAAAATAACCTCTTGTATAACTACCAGTGCAATTTTGAATAAAAATAAACTGTTCTTAAAATTTAATACTTGAAATAACATTCCCTTTTTTCACTTTTTTTTTTTTTGCTAATTAATCTTTTTTTTGTAATCATTATTACTTACTAAATTTTATTAAACACCTTTTTTACTCCCAGTCAATTTTATTTTGTACATTAATCATTATTTTATATTTTTCATAACATTTTGTTCCCCAAATTTTCAAGTTTATATATTCAACTCCAACCTTTATATTATCCTTTGTACCAGTGTACCAGTGTACATGTGTACCTGTGTACCTGTGTACCTGTCTACCATCTTACTATCATATTATAACTAAATCATTGCCATTGTTATTTTTTACTTATTATTCTTTTGGTACTTTAATTTGTGAATTTTATTTTGTTAATTTAAATCTAGTTATACTCTTGATCTTGTTAACAACCTATATCAGACCCTAGTGCAATTGCAAGTACCATTTTGATTTGTATTTTTATATTTTAAGTTTATACCTAGTTGTACTTTAGCTCATTCTAGCTCAATACTTAGACAACACCTAAACTAACATTTTTTTTTCTTATTCGCCGGTACTCTCCCGGCCCGGGTTTTTTCCAAGTAGTGGTGCCCCGGCCTTGGCTCCCTGTCTGGGGAGTATCTCGAGACCTAAGTCTGCCACGGGAGGAGGTACAAGTACCTCCTCATCTTCTGGGACCAACTGTCCCCAGGCCTAGCCACAGTCCCCACCCTCACGGGGCTCGTAGGGAGAAGCTATGCCTCTCTAAACTAACTATACCTAGTTGTACTTTAGCTCATTCTAGCTCAATACATAGACAACAATAAATTCGTTATATTAGACCTTACTGCAATTACAAGAGTGAGTCTGGTGCCACTTGTAATTTGTTTTTTTTATAGTATTAGTTTACACCTAGTTGTACTTTAGCTCATTCCAGCACAACACATAGACAATATCAATTGACTATACTCTATATAACCAAAGTGCTTTAGCGGTATACTTATCTAAACCTCCCACCACTACAGAAATCAGTATTAGAACTCACCACATAATACAGGATATAAACAACCACTATTTAAACCAAAAAGATGAATGATCACGTTGACCCTGATCTAAACCTCCATAATCTAACACACAATCAAAACTTATTGGAAAGTAACTGCCTTTATTGCAGCATCACAAGCCAGCACTATCCTGAACACTGCTCAAAGTCTATCAGTTTTTTAAATACAACATCAGGTCCTTAAGCAAACACTATGATGACCTCCTGGCACTCCTTTGAGTCACTAAAGACACCCTTCTCCTGCATTATTCTTAATGAGACCTGGCTTAAGCAGGACACAATTGATATCTACCCTCTACCAGGATACACAGCAATCCACAACTGCAGACCATACCAAGTTGGGGGTGGTACTGCAATCTATTGCTCTAACCAACTATCTTGTATTAGCACTAATTGCTTTAGTGATAATATGGGGAATACATTTTTTCTAATTTTTCTGTAAAAAAAAACCCCAAGACGCCTATAACAATCGGTGCCATATACGGATACCCCACACAAAAATCCTAAACTTCAGTGAGAATCTAAAGTCACTAATACAAACAGACCAAAAGAACAAAACACCCCCTTCTTTTTAGCTGGAGACTTCAATATCCAACCTTGGCCTACCAGATGATCAGACTGTAACTGATTTCATCAACAATATGAACAAGTACTTCTCATACCAACAATAACTAAACCAACCAGGCTTTACTGAGACAAGTGCAACCATAATAGACCACATATGGACCAATATACTAGCCCCCCTTAAATCAGGGATAATCACAGACAGCACTACTGCCACTACCCAACATTCCTCTTAACAACATTAGTAAGCCACCACTCGAATACAACAAAGTTTCATTTAGACTCCATGACGAGGCCTCAATAAGGAATTTTACAGCAGACCTAGAGACTGTTGACTGGCCTACAGAATTCCTCTAATGCCAGCGGTATTGACGATTGACAGACATTTTTTTTAACAAAATACTTAGACTATTAAAAACAAACATTGTCCTTTAAAAACGAAACAGATCAGAATTAAACGGCTTGGTTGCCCCTGGCTAACCAGCAGCATTCTGAAATCCATTGATAAGAAAACCAATATGAAAAGCAATATAGACAGGGCTTAATACACAAAGTATTCTTAAACAATATTCAACAGTTCTCACCAAATTAATAAAGAAAGCCAAAAAAACTGTACTACTCCGCAGATTCACTGACACAAGAGGAGATATAAAAAGACCTGGAAACACTTTCCCAGATTTTTGGGGACCCCCAAACTGAAAAAAACCCAAGAATATTGTTCTAACTAAACCTTATGAAACACCACTGCATCCCACTGATACAGCTTACAAGATAAACAACTTCTTCTCAAGCATAGGATCTGATCTCGCCAGTAAAATCCCACGTAACAATGCCCGTGCCGGGGACTACCTAGATTGGAATTTCCCAAATTCCTTCTATCTTGTACCAACTGAGCCTACGGAAGTCACCGCGATCATAAAGTCACTTAAAAATAACTCGGGGGAATCTGTCTCACGTCCCACCATTATTGTCAAAATGTTGAGACTTGGCTTTACCAACTAAGATATAATTTACAATTTTTAAATATAGGGAACACTTAGGTGGTAAAAGACAGCAAATCGTCTACACAGCCGCCCCTGCAGACGAGATCTTGAATTGTTGTCATGATATCTCTCAATGGGGGACTGGAATAGATCTAATTTGAGAAGATTTATTAATTACCCATAGGTGGTGTTATTTGTCAGCATATTTCATTCCACTGATGTGACAATACTTTAACTTGTGAGGACTCAAAAGTCCGACCCCCTTACTGCCCGACTATAGGTTGATTTACAAGTCCTGACGATCAAGGAACTGCACAGTCCCCGTACTACAAGGAAATTAGTAAACCTACCTTGCTCTTGTAGCGTGAGCTATGGTGTTCTTTCACACCTTCGACTGGTATCGGGTGACTTGATAGAAGCTTGAAGTGCCCTTGGATGTTCACGTCTTCCATAGGTTCTAGAATACACACCACTGGTACACTATGTTCACAAGATTGTCTTTATTGTTCACAATCTTTTCACTTAATGAAAGCATGATCACACTTCTTTAAGTGTGTATGTGTTTTTT